TTATTTAGGGATTCATCTTTGTGCGTGGTGGAGCAATTAAATGATAACCGCACTTTCAACGTTTTAGATGAAAATCATTTGGTTCCTGACACTGAATCAATTTTGATTGGGGACCTTTGTTAGCTTGGTGCGTACAAGTGTTGTTACATGTTAAATAAATTCATCTCATACCAAATTTCTTTTTGGGAGATTTGTTCTCAGAACTAATGATTTAGCTATAATTGGAGGCATACAATTTCTACTAAACTAACCAGCATTATCAATATAATTGCATACTATGGAACGTGCTCTTGATCTAACAATTTGAGCAAACGACCTTACAAAAATCAATTTGTAAGTTGATAATAAACACATATGTGACGATCGCATAAATGTAATTATCAAAATCACATAATTGCAGACGGTCCACATGGTAGGTGAACGGGTATATATTCACCTTTTTATATGTTCCAAATAATTTCAGGGAATACAATCTCAACCTTAGCTGGTACAATGATAATTTTATCATGAGAACAAGCAACACATTAGGATTCTTGAAGAATCTTTTATTCTTCAATATATAACCACGTAAATTCTCAATTATTTTTGCATCACATTTAAATCAGAATGGTCAACCGGCCATGCCAACTGATCTTTATTTCAGTACAATTATAGTTTACTTTTGCATGTGATTTCATCAGCATGCCCATGTTTGTGTGCAACAAACAAGAGGAAACAATGGGTAATCTTTTACATAAATATTTATAACCCACTTCGATTGTAGTGATATGAAGATATTAAATCTTTTCATAATTTCTAGTCCCAAAATAATATTTTTTCTTTTCGATTCATCCAAAACATAAAAAATTTCTTTTGAGACTTACTACAACCCCAATATTATTCCTCTGATAAAAACACAAGTCGTTAGAGCTTATAGTTAATTTTGTGTACTATCACATATTCCATGACATCATCCGTAAGGTGAGCATCTCCTTCAAGGAGGAAATTATATTATTATTGTCATGGTCAAAATTATTACAAGCAAGACATGTTTCTTGCTTTACTTTTTCGTACCATAGGTACACAATCAATGACAAATTTGTATTGTCACACAATAATATTATTTTGGTCATGGCCACAACCTTTATAGGCAAGAATTACTTCTTTCTTTTGCCCTTTCGGTAGTTCACAATAAACATACCATAATATTTATGACGTATGAACGTACCCGAACATTGATCATTTCTGCAAAATAATTTTCTTTTATTTCTCTCAAACCTCTCATTGAGTGAGTTTTGGCATATTTTCAACCATACATGAATATGTTCTTATTCATATTTTTTTCTTCATATTTTGCCACATTCACTTTCAAGAATGGGTAAACATTCACGATGCTTATTACAAGTCACAATCTCTTCATGAGTTGACCATAATCATTTATACATGTCATATCTTTATATTTGACATATTTACATGACCCGCCTCAACATCGCTTTGAAAGATAAAGTGCACCATCACTTTATATTCTTTCTTTTGACAGAGGATTTATAAACTTATCAAATTAAGTCGCACGATAACCGCGTGTCCAGTGACCTTTCATATTATTTTTTTGATAAAATTATTTGCACAGTTTGAAGGACTATTTGAAGAACTCATATTAATTTTCCTTTTATAATTACCACAATGATGACTATTATAATTTTGTCTATTCACGTCCTTATTCATACATTCAATCACTTGTCATCTTTCATAATTATTATTATTCTCTACAACCACATTCGTATGATAGAATGAAGCAATTGGGCGGATTTCAAACTTATCATATACTGCTTCCACATTCGCTTTAGGGAATGAATCAATTTCAATGGGATGAATTTCAAGACTTTTCATCAAAAATATATTATGTTTGCCTTAGTCATCATTTTATCATTACTATGGTGCATTGAGACTCAAACTCAATGTCTTATCCATATAAGGCGTGTTAGGCCATAATTCTATAAGACTCAAACCCAATACCTTATCATCATGGTGCATCAAAACTCAAATTGATGTCTTACCCTCTTGGTGCGATAGAAGTTGAATCTATCGTCTTATCCTCAAACATTTTTCATTATGTGCGTCCGGACTTTAACTTGATTTCTTACCCTTTTGGTGAGATGATACTTGAATCCATTGTTTTACCCTTCAATCAATATCATATAAGTCAAAAACCAATAGAACTCAGCCATGAGTCTTTAGAATAATAATCAAGAATTATAAAAGCAAATTTAGTCAAAATAAGACTTTGAGAGTTTTCTCACCTCTAGTAATTATAAATATTAATAAGTTCCTCATAATTAACACTTAGAAAATTAACATGAAAATTTACTTCTTTATTCTTCAATTCTTTTCTGAAACGAAGAATTGTTAGTATAATCATAAACCAATGTATAAAATTGTTAAAGTAAAACGAATCAATATGTTCTACCTCTTCATATAACACATATATACTAAAATAAATTATTAGTATAAGAGGAACTTTTGAAAATATAAATGTATAACAAGAAAAATAAATAGAACATGCTCCTGCTCACAAGTGTTTCAGCTACAACTCTTTTACAAAGTACTACAATTTTTAGAGCATATTCGTGTTAATAACATATTATAAATATAATATAAAGAGAAGAAGACAAAATAAGTAGATGAAGGAGAAGATTTTTCTTCTTATTCAAGTGTGTCTTACATGGAGAATGATATCTCTATTTATAAGTAGAGAAATCACTTCAAAGGCCACCACGATGAATGTCAAATTAATAGATATATAGTTATCCCAAAAAGGTTTATATCACCTTGGGAACATACATACATGAATGTTAGTTTATGAATAAACTAAATGGACAATGTCCACTTGTTCAATGGATTTATAACATATACTCCATATGTCCCTAATTACTTGTCCACTTTTCGTTTTTTAATTGTTTCTAATTACTTGTCCATTTTGACAAATCAAGAAAGGGCAATTTTTTTTACCTATTATATCATCAATTAATTACTTTGAAAAAATAGAACTTCTTGAAAATCTCAAGTTTTTTATTCATCCACTTCATAATTAATAGGGGTAAAATAGTAAACTCACTATGTCAATACTCATTTCTTTCTTAATAGATGTGTCAATTCAAAAGTGGGCAAGTAATTAGGGACAGAGGGAGTATATCATATATTTATATAAAAGAGAACCTTAGGCCCGCCTATGTGGCGCTACCACAAGCTAGAATTTCCTTTTAAATTTATTTATTTCCAAAAATAGTCTTCCCCTTTCATGAAAAGATGTGACTTTTATGAAAAGTTATGACTTTCATGAAGAGTTGCGACTTTTATGAAGACTTACCCAAAAATAGTCATCCCGTTTCATGAAATGATGTGACTTTTTATGAAAAGTTGTGACTTTCATGAAGAGTTGCGACTTTTATGAAAAATTGTGGCTTTTATGAAAGGTTCTGATCTTTTCGAAGGGTTGTAACTTTTCCAAAGAGTTGTGACATTTCTGATAAGGCACAATAAAAATTCGTTCACACTATCCTTTGTTGTCTATAAATAGAGGAATTTCCTCTCATTTTAAAACAATGAAAATTCTGAACTTTTTTTTCTTTCTTCTTCTGCACAATTAAATATTCGAGTACTTTGCTCATGTTGAGTGGCTCACTGACACCATTGTTTTTGTATCAATATACTTGTGAATAAAATTGTTCCATCCTGAGAGGATCTATTCCATTAAACCTCGGGTACTAGAGGGGAATAATTTCCTTAAGGGGACATTGTGCATTCAGTGGGCTCAATTTTTTCCTTTCTGTTTCATTCTATTGTTATAGATCCTGATATATATATTTTTTACAGTCATTAGTTTATGCTTATGATATTAATTGTTGTTTTTTAGTACATGTTTTAAACTAGGGAAAAAGGTCTGAAATATATCCGAAACTTTGACCGAAATTGTTGTTATGATACCGAACTTTGGAAAGAACCTTTTACCCCCTGCACTATTTAAATAGTGTATTTAAAATGTATATATGTGCCCATGTGGACATCATAAATATTGCATTATTATAAATATTAATGTGTCCATTGGGCACATATATACCTTTAAAATACACTACTAAATAGTGCAGGGGGTAAAAGGTCCTCCATAAAGTTTGGTATCGTAACAACAATTTCGACCAAAGTTGGAGTATTTTTCAAACCTTTTTTCCTTTAAACTACTTTGTTTATGTTTCTGCAAAGTTATTGTTATAAGTATTTATTAGTACATATAAATATTATTTATATAATAGAAAATTTAATATCTCATGTTGATGTTCATCTAATTTCTCAAAAATATCAAATAGTAACACTTCCCGGAAGCAAAAGGATAAATTACAAAATCAAATTAAAGATGATTGATTGAAGGATAAATGGTAAGATGTTATACTTATTTTCCTTTACATTATTAATGTACGTTACTATGTAATCTTGTATGTAAGATAATAAAGTGTTTTAGTTTTAATGACTGATAGATTATAAGTATTATTTTATAAATTTTGTGATATTAAATTTCCGAGCGAAGCGCGAATAATTTTACTAGTATATGTATATAAAGAGAGAGATTGTACAACACGTGTGGGTTTGGGAACAACACTTCCCTCTAATTGAAAAAAGAAAAAATTACTGACCCTCTAAAGGATAATAGCCTGGACAAATTTCTAAAATCATTTTATTTTGAATTTTTTTTTTTTTTTTAAATATAAATAAAAGGAACTTCCCGAAAAAATATTATTGATGATAAATAATTTGTGTTTGATCAATAAATAAATAAAAAATTATTAATATTTGATCAAGTTTTTAGAAAATAATTTTAAATGTATATTTTTTCAAAAGTACTGTTAGGAAAAAACTTTCTTTTTTAACTTTTTTAACTTTTTATTTTTCTCCCAAAGATTTGATTACATTAAGCATTTTTTAAAGAAAATAAGCAGTCTTAAATAAAACTAAATTTGGCCAAACATGGTGTAAGCCAACAAATAGAGTAAACATATTATTGCTACCAACTAAAGCCGTGGTCAACAACACCAACTGCTTGATGAAATGCTAAGAACAAGGGACATGGAGGATTAGAAACCCCAAAAAAATCTGACATTGAAATTGAAGGATTAGAGAAATGCCATTCAATGGAGTATTACTGGTGTCAGTGGCTAAGACATCAGCAGAAGTTTGGCAATTTTTGTCATGTCTGGCAGACCCAATTGACAGCGAAGAGCTTTTGGATCTGGTCATCTGCTTCCCTCTTCAACAATTGGGTCGCTTAGCTCTTTGTGTTTGGACTTTCCTTTGTGTCCCTCCTGACCCTTATTACTATCGCCGTTACTCTTACAATTCTTCTGCTTCTTCTTCATCTTCATCACTTTATGATAACCAAGATTTTGTTGCTGCGCCTCCTCCCCAATATTACTATGATTCTTCTTCTTCTTCTTCTTCACATTCGGATTGACCATCATTACCTAATCTAATCAACTTGTAAAGTTCCCTTCTTCCTGCTATTTTGCTTTTTTGTATAATATCACGTCTGTTGACCTGTTGTTGATGTAGTGAAACTGATGTTGTGTTCTTTTGTGATAATCATACTTCTTCTTAGATATTAATATGGATTTATTGAGCGTATCTTACATTTTACCTTTCTAAAATATGTACATGCTTCTCTTTAGAGTTGGGGGTTCCTTCAGCATGTTAAGGAAAAAAATTTAACAAGATTTGTTGCTTGGCTAGAAGAGATTGATTCTGAAATGTGTTGGAAGATTGCTTCGACATTGTGCTAATTCTGTTATGGATCATACTATAGGGTAACAACTCGTGTTTTAGGATTTTAAGTTAGTACCTGTGTATGACATGTTTAGAGTAGTGTCTTGGGCTGATAAATATCCACTATTTTAACTACAGATTTTGGGTTTGAGAATGAAGTCTTCTTTTGTATGTAGGGAGTGCTTCCCTCCCCTCCAAAACTAAATTTCTCAAATGGGAATCCGGATTAATCCCCCTTCCCCCCCAAATTGACTACAAAAACATCAGGTGGGAAGCCAAAAGAAAATAAAAAATTAAGAGCTTGAAATATGGTTTAAGTAAAGGAGCGTGCTTTAAGAAATTTTAGTACTCTCCTGACTTCCTTCTCTTTTCCTTGTTTTTGCTTCTCTTGCTTTCCTCCTTACTTCAATATTTCTGATTTTTTCCTCCACTTCCATGCTTAAAAGCTGTCTTATAGGTATTTCCAACCTTTACCTTGAGCTGTATGCTTGCTTGTCTAAGAAAACATATTTAGCAAGATTTGACACTTGTCTAGTAGAGATTGATTTTGAGGTGTGGAAGTTTGTGTGAAATGTTCCCTTGAGACTTCTTGTGAAGGATATTGTGTGAATTCTATCATGGATCATACTGTGAGGTAACTATTCTATTTTAGGATTCTATATAATTTCTCTAAGGTTCTACTTGTGTATGACATGTTTAGGGTAGTATGAGTATTTATTTACACAATTGCAACCTTTAAATCCTGGTATAAAATGTACCTTATGTCATACAGAACAAAGAGTTTGAAGTATGGCTTAGTGAGTAAAGGAGTGTGTATAATGGCCTGATGGGAGAGTACTCTTATTTGTGAAAGCTTAAAAAAGGTTCAAGTACTGACCTGGGTGGAGCTTTGAAAGAAAAATGCTGGTAATGCTGCTAATACTGAGCCAGCAATATGCTCAAGTAGTTATAGTTTGCCAGCTAATCAGGTGGAAAATATAGACAAATGTAGTGTCTTTTATGAAAAATTGCCAAATGATGTAGTTTCCACATTTTGGCTAGAGAAAAAATCCCATTTCTGAACAGCCGTAAGAATGGTGAAATGGGGATTCTGAGGAACAAATTGAGAGTACACTTACTAGTATAAGATTGAGTGTTTACAGGATTTGGAGATAGATGGCTACCACCATGGGTATCAAGCACGTTTTGTCCTCATTTCCACATGAGCTAGCTTTGGCCATCTTCACCAGACTATTCTGTCTCCATCATTTGTCTTTTCCACTTAAAAAGATTATTGCTGGACGGTATGCAACTTGTTTCCTTTTTGGTTATTTAGTGCTTTATTATTAACCAAATACTTGTAGAGTATTGTAATGTGGTACAAGATCAAGAAGTTGTCCTATGTGGTGGCTACCTTTATTTAGGGTCTCTCTAAATCATCCATGTTAAGGAGTTGTCTTTAAGATTAAATATTGAACATATAATTTTTTCCATCATTAATTAGTGAACACATAATGTCAAGTCTTCATTAGCACAACTCTGTTGCTGCAGTATCCACCATTTATGAAGATCTTTTATTGGGAGTGTTTTGCATGTCCAGTTATGCAATGTTAAGCATGCTACACAACATGACAGTATCCATCATCTATGTGTTGTGCCCTCTCTTGCATTTTGCTTGGGGTTCAGCAGAGCTATTAAAAGAAAGTGCTCTTAGTTTTCCGGTTCCCCAGTTGTGGTGATAGTGAACTTAATTTATATAGTTGTATGAAACCAAGGTTCCTTAACTTTGTTTATCAAGAGAATGTCCTGACATCCATGTTAAGGAATTGTATAAGGTTATCTATCTTAGTTATCAAAATCGAGTGGGAATGCAATCCAAAGATTGATGTCAATGCTTAAATAAGAGGATGATAGATTTATGTGCTTCAAGAAGGAATGAGTTATATGTTATCATATTGCGAGCTTACATTACTTAGAATATGTGGCTGTTAGACCCGATGTTTGCATAATCTTCATATCATGAGGTGAAAGAAAACACAATCTAAAGTGTATGATGTCATATAATCTAAGACCCATAGCCGTCACTTGAAGCCAATCTTTCACTCAATATCCTAATAATGAGTCACTTAGGTGCCAGAAATAAATGATTGACGGAATACCCTATCGAATGGGATAAATGCTTTTATGAAGTAAATGTAGCATTATTCTGTTTAATACCTTTTCGAAATGGGAAGGTATCTGATTTTTTAGAGATGATGAGAATTTCTTAGGTACTGACCACTTGCTTATAATTATTTATTCTTAGCTGATGGGGGACTAATGCAGTATTACAATCTTCCTTTGTCATGCTCTAGTACTAATCTTTCTTATGGATATGTAAAATATGAGATTGTCTAGGATAAACTGCTCCACACGTGTGCACGAGATGATGCTATTTTAAGGAATGAAGAGCATTCTTTAGATTTTAGATTTCATGGAATAGAGATGTCTATTTGAATCAAGCTTTTGTTGAAAATGATGAGGATATCTTGATGATAATAGTTAAGTAGTTATGCAGGCTAACTGTTTTGATCAAGGGTTCTCTCCAATAACACTCTTTTGAGGTCAACTTCACTGTCTACCAACAAGCAATGCATAAAAGGAAGTTGTCGATTGAATCAAAGTTGTATGTTGTGGATTGAGATCATCTTGGGATTTAATATGCGTATGTGACACAAGCCAACATCACTTCTCTTTTTATGCCATTGATTTCCGTTTTAACTAATCTTACTTGGAACTTAGTGGCATCCACAAGCTAGCTAATGCCAAAACCTTGCCCACAATCAAACTCTCCAACCCGTTTAAGTGACCTGCCCATTCATTAGATCAACCTATTTTAAATCATTAAAAATTGGGTTGGTATGTAATCTGAATTTGCTCATGAAAAATCTTGTCAAAATATTTTTTATTTTATTTTTTTTTTCAATTTGATATGTTGTATATAGCCATAATAAAGATTTTTTTTTTTATTAGGTACTAAAAAAGTTTAAAAGAACAATTGGTCTTAGTAAAAATTGGGTTGAGTTGGGTTGGATCTGAACTGGTAATGTAATCCATTACCTAACCCATTTTGACCCAAGCAAATTTGGGTTGGATTATGTTTTGATTCGATTGTTGTCTTAATCCATTATGACCTATCTAAATTTGATCCAACCCGCTCAATTGTCACCTCTGTGCTGATTAAGGCTGGGCACCGGAACGGGTTGTACCGGTACCATTCCGGTCCGTTCCGGTACCATTCCGGTTCGTTCCGGTCCGGTAGTATTTGGGACGGGATGGGATACATTGAACCGGTACACGGAACGGAACGGTACCATGATTTGGTACCGGTATACCGGTACCGGTTCATCCCGGTTCATTCCGGTTTCGTTCCGGTCCGGTCCGGTACCGGTAAATCATTTTTAATTAAAATAAAAAATAATATTTTTGTCATTATTTACTTTTATTAGCATTTCTTTTTTGTTTATTTAATTTTTTTAAAATTACAAACTTAAGTTATTTAACTTACAAGTTATAAGTATAACTTAATAACTTATAAACTTCAAAAGATTCAAATCTTTAA